ATTACGTAAATGAGTGGCCGTCGCAAACACGGCGGAGGGGGAGGGAGGGGCCGCGGTGCGCCTCATGCACTTCTTCGTTTGGCTCGGAACAGCAAACTTCGCGCTGTCTCTCTCGCACTCGTTTGCGCGCGAGAGAGAGAGACAGCGACGGCGGCCTGCAGCCGCGCCGCTTTGGAGGACGGCGGCGGCGCAGGTCAGGGCTGCGTGGCTGGGCCGGCTCGGCACGGTGGGCCAGAAGACCGGTGGAGGCGGACAGAACTCTTGACGCGTTTTGAGCCTCAGAGCTCAAAACAGGACTCGAACCGAACGTGTGACCCCACCAATGAATTCCTCGTTCGGAGAGCAATCCGTTGGTGGGGTCACACGTTTGGTTCGAGTCCCATTTAGCGACTCTGGAGCTCAAAACGCGCGTCTAGAGTTTTGGCCGCCTCCACCGGTCTTCTGGCCCACTGTGCTGGGCCCCACCGCCTCGGGGGCTAGCGTGATTTGCGGGCCTGTCTTGGGGGAGGGCCTGGAGGGGCGTCGACGCGGCCGTCGGTCCGACTCGCCGAATGACACGAATCTCGCCACGAATAATGGAAAAGGGTGGCGGCCGGCTCCTTTCGCGATGTCAAGTACACTGGCGCCGAAATCGCGGCGCCTATTCAGGTCAGGCGATGCGACGTGTCTGCCTGCCTGCCTGCCTGCCTGCCTGTCCGTCCGTCCGTCTGTCCAGAGTGTCGTAATGCGTACGCGTAAGACTACCCGATGCCGCTGCAGGTCGGTTCCGAAACGGTTCTCCGTCGCTGTCGCTCTGTCTCTCTTGCACCCCAGCGGGACGCCCCATGAGTGCGAGAGAGACAGAGCGCCGTCTCAGGGCGTGGCCGGTGACCGCCCGGCGGGCTGACGCGACGCGGCATAAAACTCGGCGCCGTTTAAAACCGGCCCCGAATGCCGCGCGCTTCGCCGGCATGGAAAATAAAACGGAACGCGGTTGGGCAAATTCTCGGAAGCGGGGAAGTGCCACGGACGGACGCGGCGGCGAAAGTGGCCGCCGGCGCGAGGGGCGATTCGGGGCGGCAGGGGAGGTTGGGGGTGATTTAGGGAAATGTCAAGGCGACGGCAATGTCAAAACCGCCGCCACACCGCGGCGGGGGAAGGAAAAAAAAAAGGTGTTAGGGGAAAAACTGAAGGAGAGGATGCGCCCTTTGCGCCCCGCTTTGTGGTTGAGGACGTTGCGGACGCAGCGGACGCCACACTGCAATGCGGAGGTGTGGAATTTTCAGTCTCCGCACTTGGAAGAGCAGAGACTGCACTTCGAGTGTGGAGTTCTCCACATTTGCTCTATGCCACTGCAACAGGTCTGTAGAGGCCTAACAACGTTGATGATGATGAAGAGAGAGGCCTCTGAAGGACCACACTCGAAGTGTGGGTGGAGACTGCAAACTCCACACGTCGAGGGGTACCTCACCTCGAAAATAGGGGTACACTGACTGGTGACTTTACTCAATTTCCACTTTTACTAGATTGAAAATATTACGAAATGCGTTGCAAAAATACTACAATTAGGGCAAATTTACGTGGTTTTGCCGGCTTTTTAAGTGACTAGACTGAAACGAGACAGTGACTGGAGTCAGGGGTGTACACTGACTAGACGAAGTGAGGTACCCCTCGCCACACGTCCAAGCGTGGTGGAACTTGTCCGCATCAGGAAGTATACTCGTCCCAGCGTAACCTTTCCGAAAGTAGCCCCTCGTCCGTCTTTTCCCCAAATCGGCACAGTTTATTTCACAATCCTCAGGAAATAAGTATTGATTCTAAAAATAAAGGCGATTCCGGCAGACAAAAATGTGTGGGGCTTTCACTGATATAAGCAGTTATTATTGAATCTCTTTCAGTTGCTCAAAGATAATCTAAAAAGTCGGGAGCTCGGTCGGGAGGAGAAGCCGCCCTCGCGCACACAATCCGGGATATCTAAAGAAGAAGGCAAAGTTTCGCAAAATAAAGGCGATTCCGGCAGAAAAAAATGTGTGGGGCTTTCACTGATGTAAGCAGTTATTATTGAATCTCTTTCAGTTGCTCAAAGATAATCTAAAAAGTTGGGAGCTCGGTCTAGAGGAGAAGCTAGCCTTGTGCAGTCAAATCAAAATTTCTCAATAATAAGGCACAATTTCGAAAGACAAGGGCCAGCTGGGCATTCAACAACGTCTTAGGTTTAGAGTAATGCAAGCTGTCATTATGATATCTCTTTCAGTCACTCAATATTAGTGCAAAAAGAGGGTCCGAGAGACCGGTGTTTTGAGGGGCTCGGACCGGCGCGTCGTCTGCCCGCGGAAATGCAGAACCCGGAATGCTTAGTGATTAAGTCTAAGATTGTTCGTATTTTTTCAACGTTGTTTTCTTATACGATTTATTACGATCGCAACGGTCTAGAATTGATTATTAGTTTTTAAAAATCCTATTACCTGCGGGACTATTTTCTGTTCTCTGGCTACTGGCGGAGTGATTTGGAAAGGTTACGCTGGGACGAGTATATGGAGTTTTCCGCACTTGGTTTGACAGTGCAGGCACCCGCCAGGCACCACCAACCCTAACCTAGTCTAGTCTGGTTTGGTCTAGTCGAGGCTTCGCTTGGGATTTCCCTGGGGGACAGTGGCGGGCTACTGGCGGGCCCACCAGAGTGGAGGTTTGAAGGCAATTATCTTGATGTGCATCCCCCACTACACCACCACCACCACCACCACACAGTGGGGGCGCCGCCGGCGGCCGAAACTCTGGACGCGTTTTGAGCTTCAGAGCCGCTGAACAGGACTCAAACCTACCGTGTGACCTCGCGAATGGGTTCCTCGTTCGGAGAGCAATCCATTGGTGGGGTCACGCGGTCGGTTCGAGTCCCATTTAGCGACTCTGGAGCTCAAAACGCGTCCGGAATTTTGACCGCCTTCACCGGTCTACTGGCCCGCTACCGCTCGCCAGCCCGCCGCGGTTTTCCTTTCGCCTTCCCTTGAAATCGCGTGAGAACGCGGACGGTGCAGATTGCCACGGCTAGCATAACAGGGCCTCGCGACGCGGCGACGTCAGGGACACCTGCACGCCGTGCTTATCTGTGACGAGGACGAGGACCAGATGGGCGATAGGCGCGGCGAGGCCGCCGTCCTCTCTGGTCTGGACATCAGGACTCACTTTTCCTCTCTTCTGCTTCCAGGCCCGACGCGGCGCCCCGCCGGCGGCGCCACCTGCAGCGCCACCAGCACTACATCGCCGCCAGCAGCAGCAGCAGTAGTAGCAGCAGCAGCGGCGGCGGCCTGAGGCGGCACACCGTACAGCACACCGTGCAGGACAGGAAGGCCGTCATGCCGCAGGCGCCGGCCGCGCCCGCGCCGCCACCGCCGCCGCCTCTGCCGGCGTTTCCCGCCAGCCTGGCCGCCGTGTCGTCGACGTCGTCCTCGAGCAGCGACGACGAATGGCCGGCCGCGCTGCCGCCGCCGCGGCGTCGCTTCCCCCGCGACCCCGCCGCGGCCGGCATGCTGCTGCAGCTCGCGCCGTCGGCGACCTCCACCCCCGACGGCGCCGCCGTGAGCACCACGTCGAGCTACCAGCGCCGGCGCGCCACCATGTCGTTCATGTCGCCCGCCAATGGGCCGCGGCGGCACCACCACTACCACCACGGTCACCACCACCACAGCGAGGACGAGGACGAGGCGGGCGCGGCGCGGCCGCGGGCGTCGAAGCTGGCCAAGCGGCCCAACGTGCCGTACAGCACGCTGCAGGCCCTGCTCTTCAGGTGCACCGCGGCCCGCAACGGCTGCCTGTCGTCCAAGGACTGCAAGGACAAGGCGTACCCCGTCAGGCGGCTGGGTCGCAGCTGGAGCTTGCACAACGCCGGGGCCAACCGGGCGGCCACGCTCTGAACGTGTAGGACCTCCACTACGCGCTCGGAACGCCGCGCCGGCTGACCCACGGCAGCCTTTACGCCTTAGCGACTTCGAACACGATCTGCTAACGAACGTTTTTACTTGGTTCGGTTCGATTTGAACGGGTGGGAAGTCAGTTTATGTGATACTTTAGTCACCGAGAATGAGACGAAAGGACCAGTCATAAGCCCAAGATTGTGTATTTATCAAAGTCATTGTCTTTTGTTTTTGTATTTTTTTTAAATGATTTTTTTTGATATGTGTTTGAAAAACATGAAATGTCAGGACTGAAATGTATAGACATTCCAATGCACAACTGAACAGAGGATCATGCGCTAAGCAAACTGTCGACTTTTAGATCATGTAAAAGTTTAATCGGAATGAGTTGAAAAGAATTGTCTTCGAGCCTTTAAGGATTTTGAATGTAATAAGGGAAATTCATTTCGTCCTGAAAAGTGCAAAGGGACCTGATTGAATTTGAGCTTTTCTGACAGGCACCCAAGGCTGTGTTATTTGTAAGATTACCATAGGTAGCCCTCTTTGTGCCACAAGAACACCAATTTGACAGGAAAAAAATGTCTGTCTGAACTGTAGTATATTTTTTTCCATTGATTGTTATCTAGTTTGTTGGCTTATGGACTAGTGATTGACTTCCTTTCCAGTATTGAGACCATACAGACCACTATTGACTAGGACAAAAGCACTCTAGTTTTGATTCGTCAGACTTTGTGACCCTGGAACGTGATCTATTTTTTCTAGTGTATAATGTAACTTTCGACTCAAGTCTATTTTTTGATATTTTAGTGAATGTTGGTGCTACGTATTGAAATTGAGTGCGCAAATGCGCCGGGTCGGATCGCCGACTGGATTCAACTTTTGGCGCCTGCGCGCGTCCTTCCAGTGGGATTCAGCACTGCCAACTGTGAAGCTGTGACAGTATTTAAGACTAATTTGAAGTAATTTAAGGAGTTGTTTCCACGATGAATTTGTTAAATAAAATAGTGTGTTGAATAGTTTTTTTTTAAGTACGTATCGCAATAAACAATTTACCAAAGAAACGTGAAATATAATTATCTTTCGTTGGTTTCCTACCCTGGCCGAGTGACATCAGCTGTAGAACAAAACACGATCGCCACGGCAGACGGGCAGACGACAACATAATGCGCCAGCACAACAAAAACATTCCAGGCTTTGCCGCCGACAAGCCGCAATCTTTTCGTCTTGCTTCATGGAAAGAGATTGACTGAAAGTACTGAATCATGCCTTTTGCTCGTCTTGGGGTTTTTCTCCAAGTTCTTCTTCTCCAATCATATCTGCCGACTGGAGTTTTTTGCGAAACGGGTAGTCAAGTCCCAATCGTACTCTGGCATGGAATGGGTTAGTAATTTTTAAATACAAATTTGTGTTATAAATTAGGTATTAGTTAAAATGTGACGCTATTAGCCTTGTCCTGAGACTTCTCTTACCTTCCTATCACATTTTACTGTTGAAGCCAAGGCCATGACAACGTTTACTAAAGCCAAAAGAAGCTACTTTTAGTTTGGACAGTTACTGTAATAAACATTAAATGTGTTATTTTGGTCATACAGGAGACAGCTGCTGCAATCCTCTAAGTCTTGGCACTATCACATCCTTACTCGAGGCACACATTGATAATGTGTATGTAAAATCACTTCGGATTGGTGAATCTTTCGTTGAGGTAAAGATCAAATATATTGGTATGGGCCTTTAAAAATGTCTACTCAAAATCATAATTGATTACATGACCAAACATAATAATTGCAGGACACAGTAAATGGGTTCTTCCTGGACGTTAACACTCAAGTTGAAGAAGCATGCAGGTTGATAGCAGATGATGACAAATTGAAAAATGGATATCATGCCATAGGGTTTTCTCAAGGATCTCAATTTTTGTAAGTCAGTCATGTATTATTTTGTGCTCCGTGTGAGTGACAATGTTTTTTATGATGGTCACAAATGCCTTTCTGCTGTCACATAGGCGAGCTGTTGCTCAGCGATGCCCATCTCCCAAAATGCGTGTCCTTGTCTCCCTAGGAGGTCAACATCAAGGTGTGTACGGGCTGCCTCACTGTTTCTACCCAGAACACTCTTGGTGTGATTATGTGCGGAGAATACTCACTCAAGGAGCGTACTTGAAGTAAGTTGCTTATTTGTAATTTCTTGTGGGTGTGCTATCGAATAATCTAATAGTCTAGGAATGTCTGAGCATTATCCTCTGTTACTCTACAATATTCTGGTATGAAATTTAGTGCAGTGCCCGCTGTTAAAATTTTTGCTGTACTTGGGTTCTAATAACCTTTTTTTTTCCTTATTTACTGATGTGCTGAATGACAGGATGGCAGAATCATGCAATGTATCATAAAAAGTAATAATTTTTTAAAATAAATAATAAGACAAAATAATTTTTTCTTGCCATTTAGATGGGTGCAGAAGGGTTTGGTTCAAGCACAGTACTGGCATGATCCTAGATTTTTGGATCAGTATCGGGAACATAGTTTGTTCTTGGCAGACATAAACAATGAGCGCCTCCCACGGAACACCAGTTACGCTACTAATCTTGCTCAGCTGGAGAAACTTGTACTGGTGCGCTTCAACAACGATTCAATGGTTCTACCTGTAGCCTCTGAGTGGTTTGAATTTTATGCTCCTGGTCAAGCAGTAGAGATTCAACCATTAGAGGAGAGTGCTATTTATAAAGAGGTACGCATGTTCATGAGTGACTTTTTATGAAAGTACAGCATTTTGAAATTTCGTTTATTGTAAGCATCTTTTTATTTTCATTTGTAGGATTGGATTGGCCTCAAGCGTCTGGATACAAGTGGACGCTTGCATCGCCTGGCAATAGATGGAGACCATCTGAAGTTTACTGAAGAGTGGTTCCTCTCAACCATTGTTGACAAATATTTGAAAACTTAGGCATGAGGCTGTGAAATAATTGCGTCATTTTGTGATTTGTGAGAATATGCTCTTCCTATATATTTTTCAAGTAGTATTGAAGCAGGTGGCAGCAATTTTACTTCGAACTGAAAGTACAGATTAAGAATAACTACAATGGCTCTCTCACGATACTTTACATTTTAAGCCCTGGCCCTGTCTGGCCTGGCCTGGCATGGGTGGGGAGAAGGGTGCACTTCAGACTTTGTGGGTCCTTTGTTATCTGTAAACTGTGATGTGTGTCTTTTTACATGATAAAGCTAATATTAGGTGTCAGACAATGTGAATCTTTTCAGACAACTAAATGATAATTAAGACAGTCTTTTTTACAAGATTTTTTTTTCTTTCAAATAGTTAATGTTAGTTACAATGTTCAACTACTAAATATTTCTTTAAAATGGTAGTTTTAAAATATGCGATATTGTGCAACTGATTTAGTTTAAGTTGAGCTCTTTCAAAAAAAAGAAATTAGGTCTTTATTTGTAAATGGCATGAGTCACAATGTTTTATTATTAAATGGAACAAACTGCAACCAAGCTGCAATGAACTATGTACTAATTCGAATGCCCATGGTTGGTAGACTGACCAGCCGGGAAGGTAGGGAACCCATTCGACTTTTCAGTTGAAAAGATGGCCTAGGTATCCTTGTCAATGTCTATTTTTGATGAAACTGAATGGTCAACCTGCCTCATGTTCCACCTTTATAAATTTTACAAGTCTATACCTTGATGTTTTCAGAAACAGCAATGCAATAGGAATGTCTTATATGCAGTAAGTTGGATTTAGACTGATGGTTTTGCTTGACTTTTCATAGACAGAAATGATTATGTGGTTTCATTCCATTTGTGTCAAACACTATTGCTGATTCAACGAAATATGTTGACTGCTGTTGTCTGAGAAGTATCTGTACAGTTACAATCTGTCAAATAAATAGAGAATTTTTAAAAATGTCCTTGTCATCGTGTTTAATTCTCTTCACTTAAAAATTCATGCCTTCAAAACGGGATTAAAAATACCGTAATATGCCTGATAAGGATGATTGCTACATGCATGTATATTGCTATTATCAGTGCAGTCCCAAAATAGATAGAAATAGCAAAAGGGGTCATCCACAAAGCATGTCCGGTGTCAAACGTGGGACGGCTTCAACTAAGAACGGAACGGACAGCGACGACGAACAGGCCCCGTCAGGGTAGGCCTCCCATCTGCCAACCATCTGCCAGGGGCAGGATGGGCGGCCCACCCTCACGGCGCCGGGCTGAGGCAGGGTGGACGATGGGTTGCCTACGTACGCGGCGCACGCTCCGAGCAGTCCAGTTGTTCGCCGACGCCTTTACCTTGTCAGCCATCCAATCCGTGAAAATGAGAGATGGTACTTGTGATGTCACTGCCCGAATACGTTTTGGACGCGCACAGTGGGCCAGAAGACCGGTGGAGGCGGCCAAAACTCTAGACGCGTTTTGAGCTCCAGAGTCGCTAAACAGGCCTCGAACTGAACGTGTGACCCCACCAATGGATTCCTCGTTCGGAGAGCAATCCATAGGTGGGGTTACACGGCCGGTTCGAGTCCCATTTAGCGACTCTGGAGCTCAAAACGCGTCTGGAGTTTTGGCCGCCTCCACCGGTCTTCTGGCCCACTGTGCGTAGCTGCCGTTCTCTCCGCGGGGGCTGTGTCGCTCTCCGTTCGGACTAGTCACTCGTCTGTCAGCATATTTGCCGACATTTTCGTAAAAAAAGCTCCTGCACTTATCGCATGGGCGTGACAGAGAATCAGGTCATCAATAATTGTTTTGATAACATTCTTGCTGGGGATATTATCATTTGAATTGTCATCAAGAGAGAGCCAAAATTTTCAAACTGTATACGCAGCGCAAAAAAAAAAAAACATTGTAAAAATTTGTTGCCACTTAATGGCAAACTCGTGGACGACATTTTCATCACTTGGAAAAGGAAAATAGGCCTTGACAACCAAAAATTTCACAGTGAAATGGGCAGTTCGGTGCATTCTGTCAAGGGAAAGGGGTTGGTGTCGGCCCACCTGGCGCCCCGTGCCCCCTCCAGGGCCGTGGAGGGGTGAGGCCCGCGAGGCGGGCAAGCCCCGGGGCCCGGCCCGGGGTACCCCAGGGGGGGCTCCGCGTGGCTCCGCGCTCCGCATGGCTCCGGCCGGACCGGACTGGCGAAGGGCCCCAGTCAGATGGTAGCCGCCGCCGCGAACGGAACTCGCGACGCCCCGACCACGCCGAGTCGAGCCGAGCCGAGCAGCCGCGCCAGCCGGGCCGAGCCGAGCCGAGCCGCGAGAGAGTGAGTGTGAGAGTGAGAGCTGAACGGGCGGCCGGCGGTGCTGGCGGCTGGATCTGGTCCGATCGGGTGGCACGCGACGGAAAGCGACAGCCCAGTGCGCGCGCGCGTGTGTGTGAGTGTGTGTGTGTGTGTGTGTGTGTGTGTCTGAAGAGCTTAGGATAAACAACAGCACCGGTCGATTGGCAAAAGAAGGTACGGCCCCAGGTGAAACACGTCGCAGACATGCTGCTGCCTGACACCGAGGGATCGCTCTGTCTCTCTCGCACCCGTGCGGAGCGCCCCTTGAGTGCGAGAGAGACAGAGCGACGAAAACGACTCTCGGAACCAGTCTGCTGTACTCTTTTCGAACCGGCCTTGGGGGATACCGCCCCCTCCTCAGTGGCGGATCCAGAGCCCGTGCCGAGGGGGGGGGGACAAAGCAGCACGTTTTGCGCACTTCCAGGGGCTGAGAGTGGCTTCGGCTATCTAGGGGCCAAGGCGGTCAAGGGAGGTCCATTCGGGTCCATTGTCCACCTGCCCCCCCCCCCCCCCCCCGTTTTTGGATCCGTGCCTGCACCCCCTAGACACAGGCAGCCTTCTCGCCACGACACTCTAAATGCCGCCAACAATGACACAGGCTTCCAGACGCGAGACGCGCCGTGTCGTTTTGGAAAGCCGCGTCGCAACGGACTGCCGACTGTTGCGCCACGGTGCCACCGAGCCAACACACGCTTTAACAGTGGAGGTGACCATTGTTAGCTTCTTGCCGCGACGCCGCGACGGTGTCGCAATGCTGGTTCGAATACCCCGCGAGCATCGCTGGGGGTAAAAAAATCGGGAACAAAAGAAAACTCGGGGGTGGATCCAAGCGCAGCGAAGCTGCGCCGCTGCCGGAGGTGAAGAAAATCAGGAGGAGGGTCACTGCACTGTCAAAATTTGAGTCGTCACTTGATGACAATTTCAAGGCTAATTTTCCTTATGTCATCAGACCAGCTGATGACATTGTTGTCACGCCCATGCAAGAAGTTTAGGAGCTTTGATGAAAATGTCATCAATTTGTGATGAGGTTGTCATCATTTGAAAGTGATGAAAATATCATCCTCGTTTTTTGTCATAAAGTGACAACAAATTTTCACGGTGTGTACACACTAAATGGGTCTGAGTAAAAAATATATTTAGACTGAAGGGGGAATCGAACTCGGGTCTACAGCATCGCAGGTCAACGACTCTACGCCCTCGGCCACGCCTGCTTATGCTGATACTCGTCGGTGCGTTGAGCGAGGGCCGGGATCGGGTTGGAGCTTTTACCGCGGGGTTCGAACAAGCCCGGCCGAACGTTTCCGAGTCCCCGCCTCGTTTCTACGCTCTGTCTCTCTCGCACTCAAGGGGCGTTCCGCACCAGTCTGCACGAGTGCGAGAGAGACAGAGCGATAGAGCGACTTTAGCCCTTATCGCGGCCGTTTACGCGACCAGGAACCGCCGGCCGCCCCACAGTGGGCCGGAAGACCGGTGAAGGTGGCCAAAACCCTGGACGCGTTTCGAACTCCAGAGTCCCTAAACAGGACTCGAAGCGACCGTGTGACCCCACCAGTGGATTCCTCGTTCGGAGAGCAATCCATTGGTGGTGTCACACGTTCGGTTCGAGTCCAGTTTAGCGACTCTGGAGCTCAAAACGTGTGTAGAGTTTTGTCCGCCTCCACCAGTCTTCTGGCCCACTGTGCGGCCGAAGCACCGCGAACGAACCGCGAAGCACGCCGAGTCGAGCCAATCGGGGGATAAAACGGAATCGATCAGCCGATGGGGAAGTCTGGAGTCTGGACCAGTTCCCCCGGGACCTCGTCCGGCGCAGCCACAGTGGGCCAGAAGACCGGTGCAGGCGGCAAAAATTCTAGACGCGTTTTGAGCTCCAGAGTCACCAAATGGGCTCGAACCGACCGTGTGACCCCACCAATAGATAGCTCTCCGAACGAGGAATCCATTGGTGGGGTCACACGGTCGGCTCGAGGCCTGTTTAGCGACTCTGGAGCTCAAAACGCGTCTAGAGCTTTTGCCGCCTCCACCGGTCTTCTGGCCCACTGTGCAGCGGCAGCCGGGCACACCAGGGACTTCCTTTATCCGAGTTCCGTGGAGTCACTGTGCGTCTGTCTCACTCGCTCCCCGGATATGCAGCAGGACCTGTCATGAGGAGCCAGTCCGCGGCCAGGAGACCGATTCCGAGAGACATTTTGGTCGCTCTGTCTCTCTCGCACCCGTGCGGGACGCCCCGTGAGTGCGAGAGAGACAGAGCGACGAGTCGGTTCGCAGACGGCGGGACAGGCCCAGACAGGCCGCACGCGCCGCGCGGCCCGCCTCACGACACGGTGCGGCACACTGCCACTCATTCCGGTTGTCCTTAAATTACGTAACATAATGAGCCGGAAGGAACTGAGGCCCGGTGCGGCGCTGTGCGGTGCTACGCGGCGCGGTGCGGTGTGTGACTTGGCTTCCTCGGCGCTCTAATTATCCCGCATTGCAGTGTGGCGATCCACTTCTTCCAGAGGAAGAAGAACCGAGACACGGGGAAAATGTGTGGCATTCGTACATAACAGCGCTTTTACCATGGGATCCCCTATGAAGACACGTTGTTCTGTCAGATGGTCACCCAAGTGACCCCACTGGTAAAACAAAGGCGAAGAACTACGCCCTTCAGGGAATGAACAGTCTTTCACGCCGTTTGGTTTTTCAGTGTACGGGAGCACCGACGGAAATGACCGTAGGGGTGACTGCATGGTGACTGTTGGGCCGGGTGGGCGCACGAGCGCGTACCGGTGGAGGAAAGGGGGGGGGCATTGTCACACAGGTCATGACCCCCTGTGGGGCCTGCATAGGCAACCCAGAGGCGACCCACAGTGTAATCAGCCCGAAAGTAGGCAAAAAGTGCGAAATGACCCCCTCTGAAGGCAATTCCCGGCCACGCCCCTCCCTGGGTGGGCACTGTGACCCTTTAGACCCGCTGCACTGCGAAACGTCGGTCCTTCACTGAACATCCGTTGTTCCTGTCTGCCCACAGCCCCGAACGAGACTGCGAGACGACGCCACGGGGAATGCCCCGGCCCCACGGGCCGCACCGCTCCCCCTCCCCCCGCGGGGCCCCTGCCCCCCGCAGGGCCCAGGCCCTGGCGCAGGCCCTGGCACTAGGTGGCGCAGGGAGGGCGGGGCGAAGACGGGGCGCTGACTCCCAGGACTCCTCACTGCCGTCGGCCTGCGCGCGCGTGTGTGTGTGAGCACGCGTGTGCGTGTGTGTGAGTGTGTCGGTGTGGCAAAATGAGTGCGCCGATATGAAGACGCGGCCATGGCTCGGTCCGCGCTCATCAAGTGCCTCGTGCTCTGCATCACCGCGGGTAAGTCAAGTGTGCTGCGCTGCTGCGGCGGGTTCGACTCCCGGCTAGGTCTATTTTTTTTTTTTTTTGCCAAGGGGGACACAACTTGAATTTTAGTGCCCGTTTTCCCTACGTGAAATTACGTTCGAATTTCATTGAAATAACGCCGATTAAACGCGAAGACTTGGACTAACGTGTGACCGCGTGACCGTCGGCACGGTCGCCACCCGTGATGAAATTTTCTAGATTCCGATGTCGCCGCGGAGGGTACGCAAAGAGAGAAAAATTTCTTACCAACTAGTTACAACGCTAACCTAGGTCGCCTGCGCGAGCGTGCGGCGGCTCGGCGCGCGCAGCGCCATCTCGCGGCGACTCGCGGAACCTCGTCCGCGCGCGAGGCCAGTTTGAGCGGTGACAAACTTGAATTTGAAATAACGGTGTTCAAAATTTTCAAAGTTGCTTGCCCCTTGCTGTCTGCCGTGCGAACGTAAAATAACATGCCAAAAAGTCGAGGGGGCACCCACTCGAAAAATCCTGTGTGCCCTAGAGCGTTCGAAATCTCTGGAAATCCGAAATCTTTCCCCAAAAAGACAAATGGCAAGCAGATATTAGGCGTAAAATTGGACGAAATCTTGTGAGTTTCGACAAAATCTCTTCTCTTGAGTCCCAAAACATGGAAAGCGGTTGCCCCTTGCAGAAAGCTGATTTTGAGACTTGGCTGTCCTCTTTTGTAAAATTGAGTCCTCCGAACACGTAAGAGGAATTCAATGAGGTGGACGCGGGACTTCATGCGCACTGCTCGACGACGAACCGACGGGATTCGAACCCGTGAACTGAGCCACTGTTCTCCATCGCTGTGGACCGGTGTCCTATGGTTCTGTTGATGAAGCTCCGCGGAGCGTTGCTGTTTTTTTTAACATCCTCAATTTGGGCTCCGTGCTATTTTCCTTTTTTTTCGAAGGCAGTTTCCACGATTGGTCTGGCACCATTACGCTCCCTGGCTCGCTGTAAACAGGACGAGCTCTGATTAGTTCAACAGACTGATTCCGAGGGTCGCGTTCGTCGCTCTGTCTCTCTCGCACTCATGGGGTGTTCCGTACCGGAGCGAGAGAGACAGCGCGACGAAAACGACTCTCGGAATCGGTGTGCAGGCTGTGCAGGTCGGAGCCGCGAATCGTGGCCGCGGTATTTGGCCGGCGCTACACTGCGATTTGCTCTCGACCAGTGGGCCAGAAGACCAGCGGAGGCGGCCAAAACTCTAGACGCGTTTTGAGCTCCAGAGTCGCTAAATGGGACTCGAACCGAACGTATCACCCCACCAATGGATTCGTCGTTCGGAGAGCAATCCATTATTGGGGTCACACGTTCGGTTCGATTCCCATTTAGCGACTCTGGAGCTCAAAACGCGACCAGAGTTTTGGCCGCCTCCACCGGCCTTCTGGTCCACTGTGCGGCTACGTCACGCTCTAAATACATGGCGCTGCAGTTAGGATGTTCACCTTCACGGATCGCAGGGCAGAGGGTGCTGCCCGCAGACTGATTCCGAGAGTCGCTTTCGGCGCTCTGTCTCTCTCGCACTCATAGGCTTCCCCCGTAGGTGCGAGAGAGACAGAGCGACTCTCGGAATCGGTCTGCTGCGGTGAAGAGGCGCCGGCCTGCTGCTTCCAAATGACGGCGCCTCGCGTCGCTCTGTCTCTCTCGCGCCGCTGCGGCGTGCCCCGTGAGTGCGAGAGAGACAGAGCGACGAAAGCGCTGCAGATCGGAGGCAGCCCGTCGCCGGTGGCGTTTCCACCCGAAATCGCTCTCATCGTCGCGCTGAAAAATGAGCATCGGCCGCAACAAGTGGCGACGCTTTCGGATTCCCCCCCTCCCCTCCCTCGGTTGCCCCGTTGTCCGGCACGGCACGGCACGGCAAGGCTTGATGGATGTGTCTGGCGACACGGCGATACGATACGGGTTAATTACGTTCACAATCCACTTAAACCCGCGCTGTGACCTGATAACCCCGTAGTATTCTCAGGATACGGCGCACAGTGTGCCAGAAGACTGGTGGAGGCGGTCAAAATCCCGGACGCGTTTTGAGCCCAAGAGTCACTGAATGGGACACAGATCGGGCAGCGCGCCGGGCAGCACAGTCGCGATCTAGTGGAACCTCGGAGACTGAAGCGCCTGTCAGACTCGGGGTAGGCAACCCGGTCCGCGGCGCGCTCCGGAGTTCGGCGGAGCGGTATACCTCGCAGGCGCCCCGGACGGCCAGTGCACAGTGGAGGCGGTCAAAATCCCGTTTTGAGCTGCAGAGTCGCTAAATGGGACTCGAACCGAACGTGTGACCCCACCAATGGATTCCTCGTTCCGAGAGCAATCCGTTGGTGGGGTCACACGTTCGATTCGAGTCCCATTTAGCGTCTCTGGAGCTCAGAACGCGTCTAGAGTTTTGTCCGCCTCCGCCGGTCTTCTGGCCCACTGTGCGCCGCTCCGCCGTTCCGCCCTCCGCCTCGGGCCGTGCGAGTCCTGCACACTGTCGTCCGTCGCCTCGTCGCTCTGTCTCTCTCGCACTCACTGTGCGTTCCCCTTCTGGTGCGAGAGAGACAGAGCGACTCTCGGAAATCGTGCGCCTCCTGCGGCAGACGGGCAGGCGCCGCGTCGCCGGGCCACTCCACTGCAAAACACTGCCGCCGCCCTGCATTCTCTGACTCGGCGGAAAAATTAAAAAATTAACAGCAACAGCAACAAAAAAGCAACGACAGCAAGAACTCGTTCAGAAAATGGTAGGGTTTTCTTCGGATTTCTTTGGTTTTCCGAGCGTCCTTCAAGGGCAAAGGCGGCGGGGCGACGCATAACACGAATCGACAGTGAAAGTCCGCCTCACTTCATTCTTATTTTTGTATTCCTCCTTTTTGTCAAAGACGCATCCTAACTGTAGACTGCAAAACACGCCGCGCCCGGCCGCGCCGTCGTACCGGTTCCGTACCGGACCCGCACGTGTGTGTGTGGTGTGTGTGTGTGTGTGTGTGTGTGTGTCGTGCGTGTGTGGGGGAGGAGAGAGGTTCCTACTCTGCCGAAAACCCACAGCGCGTCGTCCTGTCCAGGAGACCTGCACGCCAGGCTCCACGCAAGCCCGCGCAAGCCCCTAACCCTCTCTCCCTGGCTCCAGCCCCCGCCCGCAGAGTGATTCCCAAGACCGCTTGGTCGCTCGGTCTCTCTTGCACGGACCGCCCCATAAGTGCGATGGAGACAGCGCGACGAAAGCACGGTAAACTGTTGCCGCCATTTTCATTTCTGGCGGCGACTGTCGGCCGCTGGATGCGCTAGATGCGGCCCAGAAGGCCGTGACCGTGAACGACTGCCCCGCCCCGCCCCGCCCCGCCCCGCCCCGCCCCGCCACGCCCCGCCACGCCCCGCCACGCCCCACCACGCCCCACCACGCCGCGCCACACCACGCCGCGGTGAAAGGGTCACAGGCCCTTATTCTGAATACGGCAAATCTCTCTTCCGCTGGGCATGCTGGGCATGCTGGCCGTTGCCATGGCGAAATCCGAAGCTGGCCGTCCGTGTCTGTGTCCAACCAAGACGACGCCGGTCACGACCGCGGCGGGGCGGGGCGGGACGGGGTGGGGCGGGGCGGGGTGGGGCGGGGCGGGGCGGGGTGAGGTGAGGTGAGGCTCGGACCCTCGGCGGTGGTGTGCAGCAAATGGTGCAGTCGGGATCGACTAGCGGGCCTCGCGGGTGGCACCGCTTCGATAGCAGCACGGTACACTGCCAAGAAAACACAAAGCAAAAACAACCGATCTCCAAAAAAAAAACCCGTTACAAACTGTTTACATAGGACACACTTTTACGAGTGCATGCTTGCAAGTACTAAGTTAGGTTTGTAGTAAAACAAACAAACAAACAAACAAACAAACACGAACATTTTCAAGCATCAGCCTGTTTTCCTTTTCTCCTTTTTTTAAAACAAAATGAACAATTTGAAATCCTCCAACCGTGGAGCGGCACGAACTGCACACTGTACCCCCGTCCTGGCAAGCCTCCATTCGGCCGGGCCGGGGCGTCGCGCGGGGCAGCCCCGGTCGTGTGCTTCCTGCTTCATCCTGTGTTTTTTAACAAAATGAAATATTTGGAAACTCTTCTCCAACCTGTGTGGCGTGCGCTGTGCACACAGTGTAAGCGGGCCCGGTCCGGCGCCTCCTTGTCTGGCCGGGGCGTCGGGGCGTCGGGCGGCGGGGCCGCGGCGGGCCCTGCTCATCCGGTGTGCTCTCTTCGCCGCTTCGCCGGACTCGGCGCCCGGCCGGCCGGCGGGGCGCGGCCTCGGCGATGTAGGCCGAGATGTGGGTGGCGGCAATGGCGGCCGGTGCACAGTGGGCCAGAGGACCGGCGCCGGCGGCAAAAACTCTGGACGCGTTTTGAGCTCCAGAGTCGCTAAACAGGACCCGAACCATACATGTGACCCCACCAATGGATTCCTCCTTCGGAGAGCAATCCATTGATGGGGTCACACGTTCGGTTCGAGTCCCATTTAGCGACTCTGCAGCTCAAAACGGGATTTTGACCGCCTCCACTGATCTGGCCGCCCGGAGCGCCTGCGAGGTAGACCGCTCCGCCGAACTCCAGAGCGCGTTATGGACCGGGTTGCCTACCCCGAGTCTGACAGGCGCTTCAGTCTCCGAGGTTCTAGTCTCGAAACTGGAACCTGGTGTAGGGTGCAGGCAGTGCTGCAACATAAGTAGGCAAAATTTCCCGACAAGCCCCAGGGTTGCCAACCTTGCTCAAAACGCGTCTTCTGGGCGCGCCTGCACCGGTCCTTCTGGCCCACTGTGCGGTGGCGGCGTCCTCCGAGTCCCTCCTCGGTGCCTCCCTGTTCGCCACCCGGGCCGCGGCATGGCGGCGTGCGCCTCGGCGTGCCCGGGCCGCCCAGAACAAGTTTTTCCTCGCGATGCCAGGTTCAATGTCAGGGCCACAGCATTGTTCCATTGGCGCTCCCTCTGTCTGTCTGTCTGTCTGTCTGTCCGTCTGTCCGTCTG